ACACACACACACACACACACACACACACACACACACACACACACACAAATGGACGCCCTTCTCTGTCCAGCTAACCCAATCATTTATTTCTCTTTCATAAAACCTTATGATCAGTGTAAAATATGAATAATATGTGTTGGTTCTAGATGTGGGATGTGATTGTGAATCACTCATGTGCTCGTGCAGTAATGATTCAGCAATTTGAAATTAGCTTTTCTTAGTCTTTTCTAACTCCACAGTTGTTATAAATGAATGAATGATTTCCCCATATTCTTATTTATGCTCATTATCTGCCATAAAGCAAGAAAACAGCTGATTCCTCATTTGAACTGTTTTGTTTCCTTTGTCACTCTCGGAGGTATAGCAGTAACATGAATGTCACACATTCTGTGAAGAATATCAGTAGGACTATATTAAACTAAAAAGTGTTGATGTTGCACTATAAAACTCCGTAGGTACCGCTGCAGTGGCAGTAGCCGGACTCCTGGCCGCTCTCCGCGTCACCAAGAGCAAAATGTGCGACCATACCATCGTGTTCCAAGGTGCAGGAGAGGTATGTGCAGCACACTTGAAGTGAGACAGACTGTAAATAAATATCTTAAAGTGAAGTACAGCATGTTTGATTTCATTTTATTTTTTAGATAAAACCATTAACAAAGTAATGTCAGTTACACAACAGCAATATTTATCTAAAGTTTGCTCATTAAAGCCAACTACCTGTAGTAGGAGTGACCCCGAATAGTCGATTATACGACGATTCAATCTCAGGAGCCCGATTCGACTGCCGGTCCCACAGGTGAATTGCACAGTGGCAGGAAAATGTGGCTATGAAACAAAAGATCATTCCATTGTTCCATTCCATCATTTTACACAGATGGTTTCTTCCAATAAATCACAATATATTCCATATTTTCATTTAAATATCAGCCTATTAATAATACAGTTGTTAAAAATCAGAAAATATACCCAGGAGACCGGCGTTCGTGTTCAGTGTGAAAACAAAAGTCTTGTTGACTTGAAGTTACGTTTGTGACGTGTTTTCTGTACTTACACTTGTTTAGGTATGTATTTAGTTTGTGTACTTATTTTAGGCCTAACCCTGATGTTTTTCCTAAACCTAACTAAGTAGTTTTGTTGCCTGGTGTCACTGTTGTTGAAATGCTTTTAAGCTTTGAATGCTCATTCATGACTCACCTTCCCATGAGACCACTTTGCACCTACACATTACAAACAGCATGGTTGCTCTGAAACAACAGCTAAGCGATAGTCACTTGTGTCTTGAACGATCATTTTGTTGCTTTTGCTGTGTTTTTCTATCGATACATACATGTTTGCTCTGGGCTCGGGGGAACGGACTGCAGGAAAATGGGTCCTTCGGTCTAATGGGACATTTTTTCTGACTATTGCTGGCATGGAGATGTCATGATGCAGCTCCTCTCCCCCTCCTCTTTTGTCTTGCTCCCAGGCAGCGATGGGGATTGCTGAGCTGGTCGCCATGGCCATGGAGAAGGAGGGACTCGCTAAGGACGAGTGCTTGAAAAAGATCTGGATGGTCGATTCCAAGGGTCTCGTTGTCAAAGTGTGTTGATAAAGTGCTGCACATGCACATGTGCAATAATGCAATGAAATCTGACCAGAATAAACGGTCCAGTTAGAAAAATAAATCCTGGAAAAGATGACACCGTGATAACATCACAAGTTGATGTTATCACGGGTTAAAAACGTCTAAGGGTGGATTTTCCTAAGGAGTTACCTCCACAATCAAGAATAAACATTTCCTATGGTTTGTTAATTTACATGACAGGTTTGTCCTTGGATTCACTGCAAAACATCAACATCTGTTACACATCTGTTTTGTCCACCATATTCATGTGATTCATCCCTCATTCCTCCTCCTCCTCTTCACTGTCCTCAACTCCCAGCTTTCTCACTGCTTCTTCCACTCTCCTCCATCCCACCTCCCATCTCTTCACCTCCGCTTTTCTCTCTTACCAGAAACCCCTCATTCCTTCTAGTGTTAGGGAGCAATGTCAATGACTCCAAGTATCAAACTGTGTTTTGGTACTATTTTTCCACAGATGGTTTTGTGTCTTTAATTGTCCTCCTCTTCTCCAAATCCTCAGGGTCGAGACCAGCTGACTCACGAGAAGGAGAGGTTTGCTCATCAGCACCCACAGATGAAGAAACTGGAGGATGTGGTTCGGGAACTGAAACCTACAGCTATCATTGGTAAAACAACAAGCACTTGATGTTTTCACGAGGCAGCCGGTTAGCCATTTTGACGCCACGTTGAACAGATTGTCAGACTGCGTTGTGTCAGATAGGTGACGCTGATGGATTAGATGCAAGGGATCATAGAAAGAAAGGACTGATAGTAGCCTAACATTGTAGACTTGAGTGAGAGTTTAGGGTCGTGTGGAAAATGAAGATTTAAAGTTGGAAGACTGAAACTGAAATATCATGTTGCACATTGATTGCTTTCTGTCTCAGGTGTGGCGGCCGTTGCCGGGGCCTTCACCCAGCAGATCATCACAGACATGGCTTCCTTCAATGAACAGCCAATCATCTTTGCCCTCAGCAACCCGACCAGCAAAGCAGAATGCACTGCCGAGCAGTGCTACACACTCACAGGGGTACTCGCTGAGGGCCCTTATTCATCACAATAATACTCACATACATGGCTATGAATGATTTCCTTGGTCATCTCTAATGAATGGGTGAATAAAGTTGGTAATAATAGTCACTAGAAGGGCACTTCCAATGACGGCTTCTTCGACAGTTCTGTGCAACAAAACCATCTGTCAGGTCAACACCTGCACAACAAGTTTCATGAAAATTGGGCCAGTAGTTTTTATCGTAGTTCTGCTGACAGACAAACAAACCAACCGACGAATTGAAATGAAAACAACCTTCTTATCGGAGGTAACAATGAGACTATTGTTATACCTCATTGTGTTGCAGGGGCGGGGCATCTTTGCCAGTGGCAGCCCGTTTGACCCGGTCACCCTGTCTGACGGGAGGACGTTCTTCCCTGGTCAGGGAAACAACGCCTACATCTTCCCCGGTGTGGGCCTGGCTGTCACCGCTTGCGCCATCCGACATATCACTGAGGAAATCTTCCTCACTGCAGCAGAGGTAGCACACCCACATGTACAGTGTACACACACCCTTTTTCACAACTTTTACATTATTGATCAATCAATGCATGAATCTGTACTTGTGTGTTGTACATAACTGACGTTGTCCCTGAACACCTGGCACTCCAAGGATGAGTCTTAAAAATGTAATGAATGCCTGGAGCCTTTCATGGTACATTGTTAGTCATTTTCAGATTTGTTGTATTCTAAGAGAGAGTATCTGTAGGCTTTTTTTATTGGATCACTGGATTATTACTGGTGCATAAATGTGTAGGTAGCTTGGAGGTGGAGCTAATCGTGCCCACTTTATATACGGTTTGGTGTTGGAAAATGTAGCAATGCCACCAACACTATATACTAATTATACTGCTGAATTTACCCAATAGTCTAATTTGACCTCTTCACACATTCATCCATAAAACTAATACTTCATGTGTGATTTTTCTTCGGTTTATGAAGGCGACAGATTAAATTTACTGGAGCACTTATGCCTGATGTAGTATTTCTCAACGTTTCAGACCACTGTCGCTGAGAGTGATCACACTCGTGCAACACATGGAGGTATGTTTTGATGATTTCCTTCTCTAGTAACATGAGCTGTGTGTGTCACCTTCCAACAGGCTCTCGCTCGCCTGGTGATAGAGAAGGACCTGGCAGAGGGAAGGCTGTATCCTCCTCTCAGCTCCATCAGGGACGTCTCTCTCAAACTGGCTGTCAAGGTCAGAGCTCAGTGCGCACACAATGAAGAGCAGATGCACCTTAAAGGGCTTTACAGTCGACACTGTGCATCGTTGTAGACGTATCATTCATCTGTGGTTTTGGAGCTGGCAGCATGGCAATGCCTGTCCAACTGAGCCTTTGTTGAAAATTCATTATGGTATGATAAACATTAAATATGATGAAAATACATTGATAAATAATGAAAACTGTTGCTTCTAAATGCTCAGAACAAAAGGGCTGAGCGGAAGCCGTCAGTCACCTGCCACCTGAATTTTATGTTTTCCTTAACATAAAAAGAACAACATTCCCATAAGTTGGTGCATAATGCAGGGAACTGTTGGACGCTGAAAATATCCCGGGGGAGGACTCCCAGACCCCTGCTAAATATCCAGCCCACTTTTACCTTTGTTGTCATGTCTCTTTGGGTCGAGTTGTATGAGCGCTTGTGAAACTTAAAAAAAACCTTCTCAAACCCTGTGCATTACAGATCATGGAGTATGCCTATGAGCACAACATGGCGACACTTCGCCCGGAGCCGTCCGACAAAGAAGCCTACCTGCACTCCCTCACCTATAGCACTGACTATGACGAGTTTGCTGTGGACTCGTACTGCTGGCCAGAGGACAGCATGACTGTGCAGACATGCAAACTTTAATGCACTGGACAGAGAGACCCAACGAGCCCTGGAGGGGTACGCTAGCTGACGGGCAGTGACGTTGGGTTAAGAAAGTGGCTGTGTGTAGGATTTTTCTCATTTATTTGTGATTGTGAAATCAGTGGTAGCAACACATGCAGAGGTATTGGGCTTTGTGTATTTATTGTAGCACAGTAGTTTAAAACGCCAGTTTAAGAAAATGCAAATTTATGGATCACCAAGATGGAAGGATGCCGATGAAATGAGAAACAGGAAGCAGTTTACAGACGTTATGAAATATTGCACTAATGGTTGTTATCACATTACATTTTACGATAATATATTCAAGGGAAGTCCTTCACAGGTTAATTTTAGTTGAGCTGTAATTGCCAGCTACTTGATGACTGTGTTAACTATAATCCGAAAACTCTTTGTCAAATAAAAATGGTTTTGATTAATGTCTGACTGATGCATTCTTACTGGAAAAAGACGGGTGTGTTTGAGAGTTAGACTTGGATATATAAGGGACTTCTGGTAAAGATATTAGAATTTTTTTTAAAGTAGCCTTCATGGAGAAATGCTGTAAACAAAAGTTATTCTCTTCTGACGCTGACTTCGGTATCTTTCTGTAGCTTTATCATCAGGCGAGACAGAATGTACGAACTGTTCATTTAGTCTTTAGCCTTATAACCGTCATACATCACCGCCAACTTGAAAATGCTCCAAGGTGTTTCTGAAATGCGTCTTAAGGTGCTCCGTCTCCCTCTAGAGGCCCATTTCTGTCATTGTAATACAATTAGCAGAGTATCTTTGTATGACCCCATCATCAACTTTATGTGCAAATGTTTGTTTTTTTAGATTGATTTTGACAGGAAACTAAATACCCTTATTGAGACTTAATCAGGATGTGCCGTAATACAATTCATTTTCATGCAACTACTAAGGGAACATGCGTTAATTGACACAAACGGAGCCGCACACTCAATCGGGGTGTACATGCGAGACCCAATAAAAGCGGCAGGGGAATCAAACTGGTTTATGGTCCATCGGCGCATTTTGTGTCTGTCCACTGTCTGATTTAAAGTGGAGATGATTTGACATTAACGAATCAATCACTAGCCAGACAGTCAGTACCAGAGGCCTTGGCTGGCCTGCTGCCCAACCCGGTCTGAAATCAATAGAGAAGCAACCGGACCAGTCAGCGTTCAGCGTTGAGCGTCTGGCCCCGGGCATGAATTTGGAGAGACAAACATTAGCTTTCCCTCCTTGCCCTCGCCCTCCCTTTTAATTCAGCCCTGGGCGACCACCACTCTGACAAGGTGATCGATATGTCTCAATGTCAACACCATCCAGTGGTCAGCTGCCCACGACCATACATGGTGTACCAACACACACATAAACAGCTTGTATGTCATGATGCTGTTTGAACATATCTTTGGTCAAAGTTGCATTCTAACCAAATCCCATCACTTTGAGCTTGGTTTAACTGTTTTAACCATTAACTGTTACTTTTATGCATCTATGTGAACTGCTGATTGAGCAATATATCTCTATCATTGTTGAGCTAACTGTTTCCATCTGTTACCTTTTAGATATTTCACCGTTTATCAAATACTTTTTGCTTATCCTTTACAACTAGTTAACTTAACTTGACCATTTCTCCTTCGCTTTAAGCTGAACTGTTTATCTAAAGCTGACTTCCATTAACACCCCCCCTCTGTATATGACTACCTTACCTCCTCTCTCTCTCTCTCTCTCTCTCTCTCTCTCTCTCTCTGCTTACCCCCTCACCCTGCAGCCCTCTGTGGCACCTTGCTGGTCACAGACAGGCCGGGTGATTAGCAGCTGTAACCCGACATCGTTTTGACCTTGTTTACAGTCTCACATGAAATGGCACCTTGCGGAGACCTTGTGATCGGTGCCAATCAGTACGGCCCCTGAGGGAGTGTCGCCTGTCTACCCATCCTCCCTGTCGCCTGTCTGGCTTTGAGCCCGAAAGAAGAAAAAAAACCTTTCCCATCTGCACGGCCACCAACGCACTCTCAGCATGTCCTGCTTGGATTCTTGTGTAACCACAGCTCAGACAGCATGATTTAATTTTCCTCTCAGGGCCCATTGTTTGTTTTATCCTTTCACAATGCATGATTTACTTTAATTTGCCACTTGTCCTTGAAGGAACATTGCAGATCTTGCTTGATACTCTTAACTTGTAGTGGCTTAAATGTGCAGCTCAGAGAAGAAGAGCATCCTCCCCTAAAACACCAGCAGAGGGCACTCTAACATATTGTTGGAGCAGAGGTCAGTAAAAGGCCTTAAAAAGGCACTTCAATGTAACATTTGTGAAAATAATGATTTGAATGCACACATTTGTCTGTCGTCATCTGTCCTCGCCAGCACATTCTCTCCTCTCATCACCTTCTCATATGAGTCTGCTGCAGCCTGTGTTGCTAATGAATTCATATAACGACAAAAGATAATTATTATAAACGCAATAATGCGGCAAAACTAAATCACAGCATTCACTGCCGGCTATTTTCACCAGCTACATCTTCATATACATATAATAGTTCAGACTCCTGTATTGTTCCTGGTCTTTGTGTGACTCAGCCAGTGAATAGACATTATAGCCTGAGATGAGAAGGATTATGATAAATTGGACAAAACCTATGCGGATATTATAACCGTCTATAATTTGCAAAATGAAATGAATTTCATTAATAAGGTGACATTACTTACTGCTGGTCTGTTCACTGCTAAAAAGGCCATTTCTTATTAATGTATGCGGCTGTCACAGAGAAATCCAGACTTCATGTTAAGAACAAAGATCTGATCAAGTGAAGGATACACTTTATGTCATTATATACTTATGTATTCAGACATTTCTACGAAACCAAGATGTTACTAACAACAGCAACATGTTTACAGTCATCACTTCTCAACCAGCCTTTTACCAGATGTCTTTAAAAACAACATTTGTGTGTGTGTGTGTGTGTGTGTGTGTGTGCGCGTGCGTGCGTGTGTGTGTGCTCGTCAGGTCTTTGTCTTTTCAAAAACCTGTCCATTTTTGTGAGTTAGCGCTAGCTAGCTAAATGTCAGGAGCAGAGCATCTTTGTGGCAGGCGCAGAGCGTTACAGGTCAACACTCACAGCTTATGACGTGATGAATGTTGTTGTGACTGGCAGGCAAATGAGATTCTATGTTGTATGTTATCATAAATTATATTCTGATATAGTCGTAGTATTTACATTTTATTTTTTATTTTTTATGCACATTTTCTGACATTTTCCCTCATCTTTCCTCCAATTTGCTAAGCCCCCCCGACCCCCACTGGATTGTAGATTTGTGATGTTTTATTATCTTTAAATATAGGTTCCAAATCCAAGGTCTTTGACACAAAGTTGAATCTTCTAAAACAAATAATAATAATAACACTGTTATTTTAAAAGTGACATTTGTTAATCGATGTATTAATCTTTCATGTTCAGTTTTTTTTTTTTTAACATCTACAGGCTTAACTCAAAGGTCGAGTGGTCATTTAGGATAGCAGGGGTTGAAGTGTGCCTGAGCAGCATATTATGAGCTTCAACCCTGACCTCTGACCTCTCCGTGGACACCAGTCTGTGACCAAAGGCAGGATCCATTACACCAAAATGATATACACTTATTTAATGTCGAATTGAATTACTTTTTTTAATTTTTTTTTATTTCATGCAGCATATTTGTCTGTTTCAGAGGGACAGCACTGGCTGTACTGTGTATAAAATAACTCAACTATTTGTGGTGCGAGACAAGTTGTTACACCAAGGGACCTTTATTTTCTCAGCAAATTCAGCGCCCTGCCTGGCTGGTGGTGGACTGAATATGGGACAATTATCAAGAAACCACCTCTGCTCGGCAGCTTCATTCCATTCTGCTGTTCCCATGAATGAGTCTGTGAGTAATTTAAAGAGACGCCTCCGTTTCGCAGACAGGCTCGTGAGGCCTGCGCGTCGCACAGGTTTGAGCCCGAGAGGCAGTGGTGGGCGCAGGTTTCAGACAGCCTGTTGTTTCCTGGGCGGGTACCACGCACAGATACTAAGCAGGGGCGCCAACGCCATGACAACTTTTCCATGATTAGACGGAGCCTTGCGCTCAGCGGGGCCGTTCTTGCGCTGAAATCTAACGTGACATGTGTGATCACAACCCAAAGTCGTGTTTAATTAGTTTTTGCTTCAGCACGGAGGCGCGCAGACATCATTCCCTGCAGCGCTCGTCACTGAAAAAAACAAAAGAACAACGTTATGCTAAGATAGGCCATTTTGTAGCATTTTTGAGCAAGTAGGTTGAGATGAATCTTCATTTCAGTCAAAATTCAACAAGTGACAGGTCCAGATATTTGATGTTTAGGACAGGGATCCTGATCATCCATTTGATAATTCAAGAGTAGGGGAATTTAACATGTTTTAGCTTAGTTTAGTGAAGCTACACAGCACGTCGCCTTTAGCTGTTGAGCATGTTTTTGCCGCCTTTTGAATGTCGGCACATGCTAGCCAGGCTTGTGCTTATTATTCTGCTGCGAGCTCCAGATGGATCAACACATGCTGAAAATATTACAAGCAAGACATTTGCATGTGACCTAAATCCCTCACTTCTGCTCCACCATGCAAACAAGTCAGTCCAAAGACATTATTTAATGAGCCTGGACCAGGACATTTGCACGCCACGCTATATTTTCCCACACTGGGTATTAGAATTAGCAAAAGGCATGTTATGTGTACACTCAAAACAAGTATAAATGATCTGCCCACTTTATTAATACACATATTATTTGGTAGTTAAAGCCACCTGTGTAGTGTTTAATCTATCATGGTACATTATGTTTGTTGTTGTATGTGTAAAAGTTGTATACTGCTACTCATATGTTCATGGTGAAGAATAATAGGCCTATAATTAATGCACTCTTTAATCGTATTGTTTTATGTAATGTGCGTACACGCTTGTATGTGTCTTTTATATAATTTGTATTGTACGTGATGAATGGATGCTCTTACAGTTTGAATTCAATCTTCAACAAGTATAGTCCATGCTCCAAAATAAATTGAACTGATTGATTGACGAAGAAAGGTGAGCCCACCGTCACACTTGAGGCACCCAAGACCAGTAATAAGCATACACTCTGAGGCGCACCATTGTCTGGAATCACGTTTAACATGCATACATTTTCAGATATTACCATGCATGCGTTTGCAACAATAGCCATGCTCATTGTTTCCGGATCTTCATTAATTCTGTAATTGTTTGCTGCCAGTGATTTACTGCCAAGTTCTGTAAACATCAAAGCCTTTCCCCTTTTTTTCTGCAACCAGACATGAGCCATCAAGTTAACATGCATATTGCATCTTGAGCTCAATAAGTTGCCTAATTAATTGTGAGAGGCAACAACAGCGTCTGGTTGTTGTGCGC